ACTATGTCAAATTGCACAATCATGCAATAAATTGGAATATCTAAATATTTCTTATTGTAATGGTATTACTGACAAATTATTAATAAAAATTACAAAGTCGTGCCATAATTTGAGAGAATTTTATTTTAATGAAGTGTATTGGATTACTGATAGAACTGTAAGTTGTATTTTAAACTCATGCTCTAATTTACAATGCTTAGGTATATGGGGTAGTCGAAGAAAAATCAAAGATGCTAGTATATTACTACAAATGCATCTCAAATTAGAGTACCTTGATTTCGCCCATGTTATGGCTTTTCGAAATGATTCTCTTATTGCAGCTATTATCAGATCTTCTCCAAATTTAAAATATTTTGATATTTCTAGTAACGATATCAGAGATGAGGTTGTTGAAACAGTAGCTAGTACATGCCATGAATTGGAATATCTTGATCTTGGAGGGTGTGGATTCATTACTGAACTATCGGTATGTAATGTTATTTGATCATGTTCCAAACTTCAGCATCTTGAACTTGGATTTTGTGACATTTCCAATAAAACCATTAAAGAAATAGCCTGTTCGTGTCCTAATTTAAAATATCTTGATTTGGATGGCTGTAAAAAAAATGTTAGTAAGAAAGTTGTAAAACGACTTAATCCGAGTATACATATTGAAAATTACGATTCATCATATGAATGGTCCAATTCTGAATCGTCTGATACTTCTGATTCTGATCCGATGACAACACAAAGAGCGGGGTGAAAACACATCTAATGAACAGAATCTAGAAGAGAATCCTATGAGCTCATATCTGCCTCTACCTAATCCAATCTTTACCAGTATAATTGATGAAAGTGATTTTATTTCTGTATTTAGTAATTATATCAGAATATCATCAGGAACGACTAACCCAGAACGGAATAATTTATTTAATAGTATCTTCTGGGAGATTTCATAGCAAGAAGTTTAGGACAGATAATTAATTGTTAACTTTTTTCGGCTAAAGATATATAATACATAATATAAATTGTTATCATGAAAGTGAAGATAGTCAAAGCTAAAGTAGGAATGCAAAAAGTTAATTGTCGCCTGAACCAGGATTTTTGGGGATCTCTATGTGTAGTAATAAACTTCTCAAGAAAATCGGTGGCATAATTAGCAGAAAGTTGACTCCCGAAGAAAAAGATAGTAAATTCGTCAGAGAAGAAACCACAGCTCCACTTGGATTGACCATAATCCTACCTACATTTATCTCTAACATAAAAAATAACGCCTGTCTTAGTAATAAAAAATCTATCACGATTCCAACTGAAGTACTCATAGAAAAATCTAACCCTAAAACACCTAACTATA